CTGTGACCTCTTCCGTTCTGTATATTGTTACTTGGACTTGCATCCCTTGTGATTGCAATGGAAATAAAGAGAAGAAGATATAGAGAGGTGAAAGGAAAGGATTGTACTTTTAGGGTGACAGTAATGTACATGGAAGTGAGAGGAAGAAGATAGGAGGTGGAGGTGGATGATCAAAGATCAAAAGAGATGTGTCCATTTCGTCACCATTGCTCCTGAATCATAGAAGCTATTGTCAGTGAGTAATTCAGGCAATTTTGGGGGGTCTGGTACTTTAACAGTTTTCCGTAGAAAATGGCAGGTTTAATTGAGCTTCTGCCATCCTTTTTCAGGTGGGGAACTTTGTGTGCAGAAATAGTGGTATTTTCAGGATAAAATTTCAGAACTTTTTAAAAACCTTCATTGCTTATACTGACAAGGGGCCCTTTAGAGGTCCTTCCATAAACTTAAATAAATACTTACATCATCAAGTTTTTTCAAAACAATGCCCTAGGATCTGGATGATGCAATTTTCTCACAAAAAGCTGTACAAAACCAGTATGATACAATTTTCTCACATACCTGTGAGAGTTGCCGTGGGTTATCCCCTAGGGCTTTGTTCGCCTCACACCAGATCTTCATGGTTTGATGGCACACCAACTCAGGAAAAGTCTTCCACTGAAACCCAAATTAACTCGAGCCCTGATGGACATGAATCACAGGGCTTCTCTGCCTCCTTGGGTTTCTTCTTATCTCTAGATTTCTCTTGCCTGGACAAATGCAGCCCATTTTGCAGCAACACTAGGGTAACCTTTTCTCCCTTTCTTGCACTTGGAAGTGCCTCTGAGAAACTCTGCAAGACGTTCTCGAATCATGGGCTGTATAGAGATCGCATTACCTCAGTTGTTGATGCCCTGAGGTGACTATCTTCGTGTGCCACATACAGGCCCATAAACAACAATATCTTATTCTTTTGCTCGACTCTGATCTTCATGATTGCTCTTCATCCATCCTTTTGCTAATTCTTGCTGCAAACATAACGAACTTTTCTTGCCGACATGATTATCTTTGAGCAGCCTTCCAAATTGCTCCCAATGTGCCTGCCCAAGAGGTCAACTTTGAGAATGCAGCCCATGGAGAAGGCTTTCTTTTGTCTTCTTCCATGCATCACCATCTTTAGTACCTTCCACCACATGCTTCCTCTTGCTGCAACTGCAGATGACCTTCTCTTGATCTAGCCCAGAAGATGTCAACTTGTGGTCTTCCAACATGCCAACCCTAGAGTTATTGGAACTCCATGCAGTGCATGGACAATCAACTCTACCTTCTTTTCCATCATTCATCACGCATGGAGGACACTCTTATTCACGTGGTGATCACGTGAAACTTTACGTAGGCCCCACGGCCCTAAACATCTCACCCACAGTATGTATTTGTCTGATGAAATAGTTGGGCCAGCCCTTTATGTAAGCTTTTCTTGAGCTACAGTCTGAGTTGAATTTAGTCTTGTGCCTTTAATAGAAGATCTATGGGGTAAGAGAGGCATTAAAAAATCATATAGTTAGATTTCCCTGTATTTGCTTTTGAGATTTTTTTAATTTTATATATATATATATATATATATATATTAGAATAGTTAGATTTCCCTGTATTTTCCGATAAAAAGATTAATGATTCCAATTCAGTCCCTACTAAGAACAAAAATATATTTCCAAAAATACCCTTCTTTTTTTATATCACAAGGATACCCATTTGAGGTTGCTCTTTTCATAAAATATCAGCAAATTTATTCTTCTCAAGAAGGATCTTTAAAACATTGGGAAGATCTCTGGAAGACTGGGCATATGTCCTGGGTAGTGCACAAACTTATAAGTGGGCACTTCACAATAGCTAACCTTGCGGTCACTTTCCACCCTTCAAACTAATCCAACAAACCCATAACCTATTTGTCTCTTTGCAAGAGCTCATGATTGGTCTATCCAAGATAGCCAAGGTATAGAGCCGATTAGTCCTACATGGACCAATCTGTCCTCCCACTCAAAACTGGGATTGCTCCTTAATTACAAAAATAGCATGGGTGTTCTACATGGGGAAAGCAGGAGATATGTCCTTTGAAGAACACAATACCCAACATCTTTTCGGTTGAAAGTCACATGGGTTTATGGTTTTGGTTTCTTCCCAGAGTTGTAGAGACCAGAGTAATTATTTCCTAATTGGGTTCCATGATATCTGAATTTGGTTCTTTCTGACCATGGCTGGACGATTTGGACCCACCTGAGTCAATTGAACTTAGTACCTACCAAGTCTATCAAATCTCGACAAGACTTTGTGAGCTGTTGAGACTCGTTCATGCCTCAATGACCTTACTCAGATTGGGATTATGATGACCCCTGATCCAAGTCCATCTCTTTTAAATATGATAGTAACACCCATCATTCAGCTTATTATATTGTTTGTCCTTAATATCATCCTGAGAGGAAGTGGACGAGCAGAATTAAGTGGTAATCTTTATGTGTTTCAAGGAAGATTTTGACATCATCAGTGCTTTCAGTGGGACCTTTCAGCATACTTGGAGAGAGGCGACTGTGGAGGCTACTATGTTGGCCCAAAAGGGTGTGGGGAGACAAGTTCTTGCAATTACAAAGTTTTAGCTCCATCCATAAAATTGTTGTTCCATTTTGTATTAGGATATCTTAATTTTGTAAGCATACACGTGTATCCAATTTTTGTCTTTTGTATCAAGATATCTTAAATGTTTTAAGCACACACATGTATACCCAATTTTTGTCGGTGAGCCATATTATTTGTCATCAAATGTCAAGTTGGTGTTTCCCCTTTGGACAAGTACATTGACGGTACATCTCCTGAAGATTTCCTATTTTATCATGCTGCCATTGAGCAGCAAATTCCTGATTTAAACTGACCAAGTTGGGAAAAGAAAAAGTTGATATCCATCGTCTGGTACAACAATAGTTTTTTGATTTCATATTATTATTTTTGGCTAGGCGAGGATTTGTTGGTCGTGCTCCCTTATATTATTTCTAAAATGGTAGACTACACTGATTTAATGTCACAACTTTGGAGTCCGAGATGTACGCAAATCACTCAAAGCATAATAGTGCGACACAATACACATAATATAGTTTCCTACTATGCAATTCAAGTGCGGCATGTAGGGGCAAGAAAAGTTTGGTTGCTTGGATGCCTGCTGGGCTGCATGGTAGGGCATCCCATTTTCCTTTTATATCAATTCTTTGGGGATACCTTCCGTTCTATTAAAACCTGAACTGGAAGTTGAACCATTATGGGCTACCGTCTGTCTTGGACATGCTGATTCGTGTCACTTACTATGAAAAGATAGTAATATCATTATTGTTCTATAGGTATAAAGAGGTATATCTTTTTCTAAATCTGAACACCACGGGGGACCAGCACAGTTGGTAAGTGCCCTTTTATCATCTGAAGCATGGGTATGGATTCATGTCCAGCACTTGTCACTAATGCAAAATAATAGAAATATAATATCCCTAGGATCATATGACTTAGAAGGCTTGAAAAAGGCATGACAACTACACGAGCTGGCAATTTTTGCCTTACCTGGAAGATGTTGGGATTTCACCTCCCATCGGTTTTCTCTTTACTGAAAGAAGGCATGCTGATAGCCCTGATCTGTGGGAGAATGGGAGCTGACTGCTTAGCAGCTCAACTGGCAGCATCAGACCCAGTTCCACTCACTTTTTTGGTCTAATGCAGGACCACTAACAGACTCCAGACTCGTACGCTAAATGAGTTTTTGGTTGAGTTCGTAGGATATTTTTATGTATGATATGTGAAATTTTGAGATATTATATTACATTTAGGACAGTAGTATTTTTTTACAAGGTTTTTCAATAATAGCTTGAGTTTCCCAAGGTTTCTTAGAGAAACCACTTTTTATTTTGATGTTGCTGTTTCTATGAAAAACCAGTTTTACTTCACTCCAGTTTTGTTACTTCTATAATCTTATTTACTAGTGGTTCTATTGAGGTTTCTAAACTGATACCCCATTTCACTAAATTTTTTTTTTTTATCTCCATTTTTTGTAGCTTTTTAATCTTCATTGTGCATGTCGATCTACTTTACAATGGTGTCATACACACAGGCACCCAATGTCCTGAATGTCTAATGATGCATGAAAGTAATTGCGCACTGAGGACACATGAGTATCGCATAGAGGCATGTGTATTTGCTTATCTCTCTCACACACTCTCTCTCTCTGTGTTTGTGAGTGTGGTGCACGTGTGTGTGTGCAAGAGTGCGTGTGTGCATGTGTGTGACTTATTGATTGAAAACACATTCAAATATGGGCTATGTAACTTATTTAGTTCTCCTGATCTTTCTCGAAGTTTTTACGAGATTAAAGAAAAAAGTTGAGTGCTCATCTCTAGAGTAATGGCTGGATTATTTTTACATGACACTGAGCCAAACCAGACCTGGTTCTGGTTGAACCAGATCAGGTTTGAACTGGAAATTCCAGACTACTTTAATAATATTATCCTTTTATGACATGGAGCAGGCAATTTCCCCACATCATAGCAAATTTAATTTGGGAATATTGTGGAATATAACCTGTAATTTTCAAGAACAGAAACAGGTTTATAGCATATAGTTTCATTATAATACTATAGCTTGCTCTTCCTATCATCTAAACAACGGCTTGCTGAACTCTGGCTTCCATGTCTCCATTATTTTCCTCCAGGAAAAGTTGACCATGAAACTGTGAGATAGAGCACTTTGGGGTTAATGTCTCTAGATGTTTTTCCTCTGCTGGCACTAAAAATTGGTCAATGGAATGCTTACTGAGTTTTTCTTGGATCTCTTGCTGCTACATCTCAATCACTGGCTAATTGCATCCTCTTCCTTGTTTACACCCATCCATTTATTCTCTTGAAAGCAAAACAAATTTGATAATCACATCATATTGGTCTTATACAACTTTTTTGTTTATTTCGTAGTATAAAATAATAAGAAGAAAATTGGTGCAGGTACACTGGTGAAGATGGGTTTGAGATCTCAGTCCCCTCAGAGCATGCAGTTGACCTTGCAAAGGCCATCCTAGAGGGTTCCGGGGGCAAGGTTCGGCTCACAGGGCTAGGTGCACGAGATAGCCTTCGGCTTGAGGCCGGGCTCTGCCTCTACGGCAATGACATGGAGCAGCACACCACCCCCGTTGACGCTGGCCTCAACTGGGCCATTGGGAAGCGTCGTCGAGCTGAGGGGGGTTTCTTGGGGGCTGAAGTCATCCTCAAGCAGCTGGCAGAGGGCCCACCTGTTCGGAGAGTGGGGTTCTTTTCAACTGGGCCACCAGCTAGGAGCCATAGTGAAATTTTGGAGAAGGAAGGTGGTGGGGCGCTTGGTGAAGTGACGAGTGGTGGCTTTAGCCCTTGCTTGAAGAAGAACATAGCCATGGGTTACGTGAAATCAGGGAGCCATAAGGCGGGGACTGAAGTGAAGATTGTGGTTCGAGGGAAGCCATATGATGGTGTTGTTACAAAGATGCCATTTGTGCCGACCAAGTACTACAAGCCATCATAGTTGATTGAACCAGGCTTCCCTAACTTCCCCCCTCTTCATCTTCTTTCTGATTGGCAACACTTTGTCTTCTATGTTTGCTACTTTCATCTTGTTTCTTAGACATTGTGATGGAAGTGAAAATTTATGTGGCAAGGTCTGGTGCATATTTGCATTTTTTATGACAATAATACCATAATTTTGCTAATTTATCTTGAACAGTCAGAAGGATGAATTTTACTGAATTGAAAAAAGTAACGCATATAGCTGCTATGTATCTTACACAAGTTTGTCCAAATGTATAGTTTTCCACCATTATTTTCTTCCCGAAGTCATGGTTGAAACAATTGTTAACCATTATTCATTCCTAAAATAACAGATAAATTATTGACTTTCCTATTGGCAAGGGTGGCTGAGGCTTGTGCTTTAAGCCACGAAGCTATTACTCTATTATAGGTAACTGGCAGTGGCCTCTCTTAGTTTGTCATCAAATGAAATTATCAGCTGCTATGAATTTGGCCTCTCTTGGTAACAATCAGTATTTAACGTAGAGCCATTGATTAACCATATTAAGAAAAAGAATCTTATCAGTCTATATTTAACAAAGAATGAAATAGATTTCTTTCATGAGCTTCATATTTCTGAACTGTGAAATACATTCTAATTATTAGGAGCTTCATAGAATTTGAATTCCCTGTCAATTATTTTCTGCCGATAACTACCACTATGCAATTATCTTATGTTGAGTCAATTCCTTACATTATTAATCGGCTCTTAAAATTTCAAACTTTCTTTAGGCTTTGTTTTCCAGTTACACATCGTAGGACTAGGTCTGCTATCAGGTTTTTACACGACGGTTTGCTAGCATTTGTCAAACATGAGTATGTTAATGGTTCTTGTGTTTATGGTCTTGAAATCACTTTTTCTTGATAAACGTTGTAAGAGAAAGGTCATCTAGTATATTTTGTTGATTATCCGATCTTTTATTATTTTGCAAAAATATCATTAAACGGCTTAAATTTATCTTACAATATCATTTAAGTGACTCAGATATCCAATTTATCAATGCATGGTTTGCTCCGCAATTCTCATTTTGTAAAACTACCTCAACTGAAAAATTGTTAAAACTTCTCAAAGTACCCACCCTTGTTCATGGTTTGGAATCGTGAACAATCAGGGCATTTTTTTGGGATTAGGCCTACTTAAATAGCTCGATCTAAATTGCAAAAATATTCGTGGTTGTTTATAATTGGTAAAATGAAACTAAAAATGATGAAAATACCCCTTGTGGTTTAGGATTAGTAATATGAAATAATAAGGAAAAATGAGGACAAATCGAGCTAGGCTGGCCATAGCCTAGTCCTCAGGTGGAGGTTGTTAGGCTTGGCCCAGCCCTCCCTCTAAATTCTATGGTCGCAGCCCTTATTTCTTGTCGGGGCAGGCGACCCCCTCCTATTGCCAGCCCTAACTATGATTTGAGGAAAATCTCTCTCTCTCTCTTGTTGATTAGCTGAGTCGCGGTTCATGACGATACTCTCACTCATTTTGTTAAAAACTTTCGAAGTACACTTCCTTGGGGGTTGTAATCTTGAACAATCAATGTATTTTTTTGTGATTTGGCCTACTTAAATAGCTCAATCTAAATTATAAAAATACCTATGGTTGTTCATGGTAAAATGAAACTGAAAATAATAAAAATTCCACGTTGTGACAATGCCTAATGGAACTAAAAGATAATAATAATGATAATATGGGAAACCAAGACAATTTCGGCTATACTGCCATAACTGCTACCTTGGGCCTAGCTTAGCCTAGTCCTCGGGTTGAGGTTGCTAGGCTTGGCCCCGCCCTTCCTCTAGATTCTATGGCCCCAGCCCTTTTTTCATGTCGGGGCAAGGCCAGGCCAGCCCCTTGCCATTGCCAGCACTAACTATGAATTGAGGAAAATCTCTCTCTCTCTCCCTCTCTTTTTCAAATCCAAGTAATTTACAATTGAACTCCTTAGGTTATCTGCTAAACATTCAATCAATTATTTCTTTGGAATGAGAAAAAAAGGGGTCACTTGGTTTTCTTTTTTTAGGCTATTCCTACATTTTCTTAAAATATCTCGGGCTTTATATTGAAACTCAATATTCGGATCAGCTATATATAT